AAAGACGTGATGGACAGATCTACCATAGTTCCAGCTACGAAACTGTGACCATCCTAGACCAAACCAAATTCAAAAATGCTAGAATATTTCTAGAAGCCTGTCACTCTGGCAAAGTAGCCATCAATCGACACGTGGACATAAACAATAGCTACATACTGTGCAAAAGAGACAATCAACAAACCAAAAAGGGAACAAAAAGACCAAAATACCTCCCCACCAGCAATCCCCACAGATGAGCATAGATTAACTCCAAGATTAACATCAGACCAACCAATCAAGAAGTAAACAATACTCCAATCAAGGAACTGCCAAACAAGCTAACAAGAAAGAGCTCAACCAAAGAACCTCCAAGACCACTTCCACCAAAAGGGAAGATTGACAGGGCAAGTCACTAGAATATAAACTGAGAGCAAAGCCCATTCCTTGCTAGAACTGATGATAGATAGATAGATAGATAGATAGATAGATAGATAGATAGATAGATAGATAGATAGATAGATAGATACATAAATAGAATAACTGTATTGTCACTTTGAATGTAGACTAATTGGCATACATTAAAATGAAATTTCATTGCATACAGCTCTCAAAGGATCACAACCTCCAATATATACTACATAAATATGACAAAATAAATAAATAAATACAAAATTATGCATATACCCACATATATTATATGACACAGAGAAACAACACAGTCTAGTTCGGATGTATTCATGTACATGGCGACAAAAACTTATCTTGCAAATTTACCAGACAGATGGCATAGGGAACAAAACTGTTTCTGCTAGAAATACTTCGAAACCTCCTCCCAGAGGGGAGTAACAGAAACAGACCATGAAGTGGGTGTGTGGGGTCTCTGACAATGCTTTGAGCTCTAAGCATATAGTGCTTATAAACAGTGTCCTGAATAACAGGAAGCAAGCTTCCTATAATCTTCTTGGCTGTCCTTAGCACTCTCTGTATGGACTTTCTATCTGAGGCACTGCAGCCACCAAACCAAACAGTGATGCAGTTTGTTAAAACGCTTTCAATCGTGCTTCTGTAAAAAGTGGCCAGGACAGAAGGAGAAACATGTGGTCTCCTCATCCGATGCAGGAAACACAGACGTTGGTTTGCACGCTTCACTTAAGGATGACGTGTGGAGAAACCACTTCAGATTGTTCATTACCTACTTTGAGTAATGAAATGGCTGTAAGAAAAGAAATGGCTGTAAGAAGTTCAGAGAGCACCAAGGACCCTTCATTTTAACCTGTGCTACAGATATTCTCAATCTTAATAAAGGACTCTTGGATGCCCATCGATGAGGATACCAGAGAGGGAAAGACTGCCCTCAAGTCTATGAAAGAGATGGGATGAAGTTGACATGGTCCAACTGTATCTGATTATCACCCCCAAATCCGCAGGGATTCTTTTTCCAGTTTACAATACTGCCTTCAGCATAAATATGAAATGTGGCTGATCTCCTGCCTATCAGCTATTCTGAAAGCACATTGAAATAAAAATTAGAATAACTCTTGGCAATAGTGCAAAGCTTGCAAAGGCACCGTTAGGATAAATTAAGTGCTTATTTATTATATTCAAATGATTTTCTTCCCTTCCCCATCGCTCATATTAATGGGAAAGAAAGCAATCTGCAGTTCCTCAAGACCTCCTTGACCTGGACGGTTCAGGAAGTGCTGATGCTTGAATGTGTTAATGGAAGAAAAGAAAAATTGCAATTCAGTTATTTTTCCTTAAAAAAAACAGCTTTAATTAGAATGTGATTTCTCATGCTGTGATCCTATTGTCCACAGTGAAAGCTCATTAAGCAACTGGCACAATTGGCTGGCTAATCCAGGGCAGCTGAGTTGAGTTCAGAAAGCTGATTGTTATGTGAGAAGATAACTGGTTCTGATTCAGCATTATAGAACTTTACTGCAGGGATGCTGCAAATCGGTGACGGAGGAAGGACAGCAGATAAAACTGAAAAGAAGCTGTTTGGTTTTTGTTTTTTGTTTTTTTGCTAAGAACACTTTTTCACTCTTTGAAAGGTCATCTTTTCAAGCCTTGTCCTCTAGTTTATGTGAAAATGACAAGTAGTTCTGGACTTACGACTGTCATGGAGCCAGTGCCTATCATGATCATGAATCAAGACAGTTGTATTTTATGACCTTTGGTTTTTTGTTTTTTTTTGCAGCGGTCATTTAATTTTAGTTGCTGTTCACTGCTCAGAGTGACAAAGTTGAGACAAACAGCTATATTAATTGAAACACACAAACAAACAAAAAATAAAGGCAAGAATTTAGAATTCTGTTTTCTTTGGATTACGCGTCCTGCTGTGTCTTCCTGTGTTTTCTGCCCTAGGTCTCCACAACGGACCTCTGCCTTCTTAGTTTCCTGAGGTTTCTGCAACCTTAAGGCCTTAATCCTGCTCATTTTTGTTTAGAAAGCATTTTTACAAAGGGAAAACTGTTCATAGAAGAGGCATCCCCATCAGCTCCTCATATTCTTCACTATCTCTTGTCGATATGTCATGACTGTACATTTACAAAGAAGCTCAGTGGTTCCTGACAGAGAGATTTGATCCTGTAATGGAAGGTAATTCCTAAAAAACACATTACTTAGTGATTGTACATATATCATTTCACCACAAATATTCATCTAAATCTCATAACTGGGAGAGGAAAATGGCTGATTTTAAAACAATTGGAAGCTAATTGTTTGTATTTCTAGCTCAAACAATGATTAGCTATCACATAAACATCAAGTGTTAGATGAATAAAGATTTCAACAATAACTGGCCACTTGAAGATATGTGGACTTCAGCTCCCAGAATTCACCAGCCAGCATAGGTGAAATACCATTATGTGTTGAAGGTTAGCAAGCCCAGGTAACTGGCTATGGGATTCTGGTTGTATTTCTCCCATCTTGGCTTGAAAGCTTCTAATACTATCATGGACAAGACTTTTTTCCTTGTTCCAAAGTTTTTAAAATCTTTATGCTTGTTCATGTTACTGTAGGTTCATGTAGGTAGGAATGAACGAGGAATGCTTGAATGCCACTCAAATGCTGAGGTCAACTCAAAAAATAAAGCATGCATTTAAAAAGTTATGTTTTGCAGGGGGAAATAGAAAGATTATTTTTAAAATACAATACTAACAACAGATATATACAATTTTACAATTTTCTGCATCAACTTTTGTCTTTACGCTTAGCTTTTATCCTCCCGCTCCTTCTCTTTATTTTTAAATATTCATAATTAACTGTTTTGTTAGCAGGATCATTATTTACATTTATATCCAGTATGTTAATATCAATATCATTATTGTATTTTAACGTCTGATGTGCGTGTGTTTTTGTTTTTCATTTTTGTCTCTTGACTTCTTTTGCTATTGTGTGTTTGGTTTTAAAATGTAAAATACTCAATCATTTTTTTTTTTTAAAAAAAAAAGAAAGATTATTTTTAAAAGGAAAGTTTCCAAAGAATATCAATGAATGAAAATTCTGGACAAACGAGATGTGAATTTTACATGGATTTTCTTTAGTCAAATTCTTAATGGGATTTGGAAGTGGGATCAAATGACAAATGCTATGAAACTGACTGATTTGTCCACTGAAAGATAATTTCCCCAAATTTTAGAAATTATAACAAGAATGCTACAATATTGTCAACAAAGGGTTATTTAGCAATGCACTCATTGTAAACACAGTAGTAGATTTTTATTACGTTTCTTATAGTCAATTTTTCCCGCAACACTCTAACATGGCTACCCTTCTGCATACCATATAGGTGTTACAATGGCAATTGGGACTGGAATTTCCATCACTGAGCAATGTGATTGTAAATTGCAATGTCATATGATTGCATGGCATAGTAACAGTAATCCCAGCAATCCAGGGGTGAAATCCAGCAGGTTCTGACAGGTTCTGGAAAACCGGTAGCGGAAATTTTGAGCAGTTTGGAGAACTGGCAAATACCACCTCTGGCTGGCCCCAGAGTGGAGTGGGAATGGAGATTTTGCAATATCCTTCCCCCAGGAGTGGGGAGGGAATGGGGATTTTGCAGTATCCTTCCCCTGCCACGCCCACAAAACCGGTACCACACCATGCCCACCAAGCCACGCCCACAAAACTGGTAGTAACAAAAAAATGGATTTCACCACTGCAGCAATTAAACTTACCCAATTACTGCCATGAACCCAGGCCCATTTGAGTTGTTAAGTGGGAAGAGGCAGAAGTCCCAGGCAAGCAGGCTGGTGTTTAGGTAATGCAAGATGGTAGGGAAGTGCTAGACACAGTTGCTATAGAGTACAGGTGAGTATGTGGGGGTAGGGTGGAATACTGTACACCTCCCTTCCCATACTGTCAATGGGAAAGATGTGGGGTGTGTGTGCTACAGGCAGACAGTATGGATTTCAGGCAAAAAAAAAAAGTTACTTCTGACTTCCTGCCAGCTTCTGTATTGACTGTGCTTCTGGAAAGCTGGCAGGGAGTGTCGGAAATCACAATCCAGTGACCACGGCTCACTGAAATATCATAATCATGAACTGGGCACAGAGCAATAGCAATACCACTTACTTATATATAGCTATGAAGCTATATATAAGTAAGTTTACAGAGTCAGCATATTTTCCTTAACAATCTGGGTCCTCATTTTACTGACCTCAGAAGGATGGAAGACTGAGTCAATCTTGAGCCGGTGAGGATCAAACTCCTGGCTGTGGCCAGAATTAGCCTGCAATATTGCCTTCTAACCACTGCGCCACCACAGAAGCCCAGGTTCATGCAATCATGTGATTGCAAGGATATTGCAATGGTTGGAACTATGGTACTCACTGGAACTGTGAGGCTTGGTTATAAATCCCCACATTCAGTGTTACTTGTAACTTTGAATGGTCACTAAATGGTGAGCTTGAATTCTACTTATATGCGGGAAGATATAGTTATATATTGTAATACATAATTCCTATAATATATGATAAGGCAATGTATAATTCTCTATGTAAGGAGTAAGTTACCTCTTCATTCACTGAAAATATTTCTTGAGGATTGCAGCTTCAATTGCCATTTCTTCCTCAGTTCTCCATTTGCTGGGGGAATCTTCCGCTTCTTTGTCATGACGCTGAAGCTTAATAGGAAAGAAGAAAGGATTACTATTTTGAGGGGGAAGTAATTGAAGCAATGAATGTTATGATCATAAAGGTTGGTGTTTTTATCCTGTTCTTTGATTCCAATAATTTATTTCCAATTTTTGAATAATTGGGAAGATTTCAAATTCTCGAACTTCATCATCTCAGCTTTCTCAGCTTTTAGTTCCTCCACTTCATTTACCTTATTCACAACATGTATGTATACACGTACACAACGTTTTGTGTAAAGGAAGATGGAGACAAAACAGTGTACGGGGGAGGTTCAAAAACTACTCACATGGTGCTTAAAAAATAACCTGCATCTGAACATCAGCAAGACCAAGGAGATGGTGTTGGACTTCCGGAGGAAGAGAGAGGAACCTGCCTCACTTTACATCGAGGGGGGCCGTGTAGAGAGAGTTTCCTCCCTTAAATTCCTGGGAGTTCATCTCAGCAAAGACTTCACTTGGAAAAACAACATGATCCGGGTGGCCAGGAAGGCCCAACAGAGACTCCATTTCCTTAGGGTCTTGTGTAAAAACAGGGTGGAACAACAACTGATAACCTCCTTTTACTGGTCCACAAAAGAAAGCATCCTCACTTATTGCATCACGGTATGGCATGCTGATCTGACAAGTGCAGATAGAAAAACATTACAGAGGGTGGTGAGCACAGCACAAAACATTATGGGCTGTCCCCTGATATCAGTAGATGAGATCTCTAGGGCTCGTTGCCTTAGGAGAGTGAGGAAAATCCTCAGGGACGACTCACACCCTGGTCAACACTTCTTTACCCTCCTATCATCAGGAAGGAGATAGAGAAGTATAGCCAGTCGCACAAACAGGCTGAAGAACAGTTTTTATCTGTGGGCTGTCAAGACTCCTGAATGCGAACATCATAACTACGTAGTATGATGGACTTGCAGGGCCTGCGCAACATGTAACATGCTCACACTGGTGCAACAGGACTGGGTGTTTGTTAATATGATTTATTCGGTTAGGGATTTTCTGTCTTCACTATGAGTTGTTTTGTGTTGGGTGGGAGGGTGCACTGAGGGAGCTCAATCAATCTCATTGTACATATGTTGTGCACTGACAATAAAGATTTGAATTTGAACCAGGAGACAAAATCAAAAGCAAGTATATACTGTACCTAGTATTTCTGTAATACAGAGAGAGGAACAGTGAATATTTCCTAATGCATCTATTCCAGAAAGAAGACCAGACACCTCAGAAATCTAACACTTGAGAAGCAATTCAGGCAAGGAGAACTTCAGAAGCATCTCCATGTGTGACATGATCAATGTATCTTAAAGCAACCAGAAGGATCATAGAGGAAACCATTTTCTAGGAGAAGCCTTCTCTGACGGTGGGTCTTAACCTCATTCCAGGCTGAGGCTTACAATTTAATAAAGCTTTTGTTATAGGTCAAATGCGGTCAGCCTATTACAGTTGAATCAGATACGTGGAGGACTGGAAATAAAATAAATGAATTGTGAGAAAGAGAGAGTGAAATCATCCTTGTTGAGAAAAACTCACCCATCCCCAAAGCGGGGAAAAAAGATTTAAAAAAAGGAAAGAGAGGTGGAAGCAGTAACAGTTTACATTTCATGTTCAGTCAGATGTAGATCTCACTCATTTCATCATTCAGTGTTAGTGGATTTTACTCCTTGTAAATGTATTTTAGACTGAACCCTTCAACAACAATGACATTATGCAATTCATTCTTATCCCTCCTAATTCACACATCTGGCCTGGATTTTTAGTGTCTGAAACAAATAACAGAATACCAGAGTTGGAATGAACCTTGGAGGTCTTCTAGTCCAACCCCCCTGCTCAAATGGAGACCCTGTACCATTTCAGACAAATGGTTGTCCAATCTCTTCTTAGAAACCTCCAGTGTTGAAGCACCTACAACTTCTGGAGACAAGTTGTTCCACTGATTAATTATTCTGTCAGGAAATTTCTTCTTAGTTCTAGTTTGGTTCTCTCCTTGATTAGTTTCTATCCATTGCTTTTTGTCCTGCTTTCAGATGTTTGGAGAATAAGTTGACCTCCTCTTCTTTATGGCAGCCCCTTAGATACTGGAACACTGTTATCATGTCACACCCTAGTCCTACTCCCCTGTCTCCTTCCATTCAGAGGAGAAGATTGATCAAAGCAACATTTGTAATCTCATCTAGATAGCATTTCTCAAATTTGGCAACTTAATTTCCCATGTGGGCTAGGGAATTCTTGGGGTTGAAGTCCACACATGTTAAAGTTGCCAAGTTTAAACTAGACTAGACTAGACTAGACTAGACTAGACTAGACTAGACTAGACTAGACTAGACTAGACTAGAATAGAATAGAATAGAATAGAATAGAATTCTTTATTGGCCAAGTATGATTGGACACACAAGGAATTTGTCTTGGTGCATATGCTCTCGGTGTACATAAAAGAAAAGATACATTTGTCAAGAATCATAAGGTACTACACTTAATGATAGTCATAGGGAACAAATAAGCAATCAAATCATATTAGGAAACAGTCAATATAAATCTTAAGGATACCAGCAACAAGATTACAGTCATACAGTCATAAGTGGGAGGAGATGGGTGATAGGAACGATGAAAAGATTAATAGTACTGCAGACTTAGTAACTAGTTTGACAGTGTTGAGGGAATTATTTATTTAGTAGAGTGATGGCGTTTGGGGAAAAACTGTCCTTGTGTCTAATTGCTTTGGTATGCAGTGCTCTATAGCGTCGTTTTGAGGGTAGGAGTTGAAACAATTTATGTCCAGGATGTGAGGGGTCTGTAAATATTTTCACAGCCCTCTTTTTGACTCGTGCAGTATACAGGTCCTGAATGGAAGGCAGGTTGGTAGTAACTGTTTTTTCTGCAGTTCTAATTAACCACTGAAGTCTGTGTCTGTCTTGTTGGGTTGCAGAGCCAAACCAGACAGTTATAGAGGTGCAGATGACAGACTCAATAATTCCTCTGTAGAACTGGATCAGCAGCTCCTTGGGCAGTTTGAGCTTTCTGAGTTGGCGCAGAGTTGGCAGTTTAAAAACACTGATTAAGATGGACAGTTGGGTTTGAGGAGCTGCCTATCATTGACAATTCTCACAACCCCCTACAGCATTCAATATGACTTTGCTCCAGAGACTTATGGGAAGTTTATAACTGTGGCCAAGAAGACCATTTAGAAAAAAGCAGATCCTTTGCCAAGGAGGTTCTAAATCTGTGCCTCCATGTCGCATTGCACTTGTGTCAGAAGCACCGAGCGCTTCTGGATTGAAATCAGAGGTGGTATTCAGCAGGTTCTGACCTGTTCTGGAGAACCAGTAGCGGAAATTTTGAGTAGTTCGGAGAACCGGAAAATACCACCTCTGACTGGCCCTGGCCCCATCTATTCTCTGCCTCCCAAGTCCCAGCTGATTGGGAGGAAACAGATTTTACAATATCCTTCCTCTGCCACAAACCAGCCCCACAGAACTGGTAATAAAAAATTTTGAATCCTACCCCTGGTTGAAAGCAATAGCTGGTGACATCACCATTGCCCGGGAGATGCCCAATTGAGAGCTCCTGTCATGTCACCTGCAGGATTTGGACTGAAGGACGGGAGCTCATACAACCCCACAGCAGCACTCGGGTCTCAAATGTGGGCTTGCTAACCTCCAACCTGGCATCCTAACCATGCCAGCCACTGTGCTCCTTGTTATTTCCTCTAATTGTACACTTCCACTGTGTAAGTGCTTGTCAAATCCTGGGCAAGCTGTTGATTTGGGAGATGACAGTAATTTTGTATATTTTTGAACTGGGGCTTTCTTGCTGCAAAGTGGAAGAAAGAGCGAGCTTGCTTTGTGTGGATGAGTTAATGAATGACATACTGAACATCCCTCAAGCTCTATCGCAACAATGACAACAACAACAGTCTGCCATGCCACCGTGTTATCCGTTTTAATAAAACAACTTAAAATCAGGCTGTCAGCTTTCCTGGCAACTTCACACTGGGGGGGTGGGGAGCGGGGGAGGGGAAGGGAGGAAGTGAATCTCTTTTTCTTTTCCCCGCCCGAAGAGAAATATTCAAAGAGTCTGACTGTTTACAAGTGATCAAAAGTGACAGTTGGTGCTTATTGGTGGAGGAGTTTTTCCGTGCTTGACGTGAAACAGGAAGGATAATTTATCAGGAAAGCTGAGAAGCCAGACATCGGTAATGATCTGCTTAAAGAAAGGAAGGTTTTTAGAAGAATATTTGTACCACAGAATAAGGATTTAAAGCAAGATGGCAGTAGGTTGTTTTTTGTTTTGTTAATCTGCCTTGATGCTGAGCAAGTTGTGATTTTTTTTCCCCCTGGCAGTTTAGATTTCCAAAGCTGAAATAACACCAGCTAGAATGGCTGGAGGTTTTACCGGTAATTAATTTCTAACAGCACAACAGGTCAAAGTTCTCTTATATTTATCCTTACTTTAAAGATCCTTAAAACAGTGCTGTGACCTTAGAGTTGCTTTCATTAACAGTTGCTTTTTTAGAAAGATTGGGTGCATTGCACACAGATGCATTTCCTCCTTTCTGTCCTGCTTTAGATGAAGACTGGCATCACAAACGCCTCTCAAATGGAGTGAGGTGTTTTCATGGAAGAAGCTGGGAATGAATAATGATGTCAAAGAAATCAGACCAAGGCAACGTTCTAGAGATTAGATTATAGGCTACAAAAACTAAGTTGAGGAATCAATTGCTCTCCTTCATCCCTTGATGAAGTTGTAGCTTCATTCAAGGATCGAATGCGTTTAAAGGTTAACAGCAGCATTATGAAAAGATAAATGATTTTGGGCTTAGATTTTAATTTTGAAAACACAGACCCTTCCCTTTAAAAAAAATAAAAAAAATAAAAGGGCCATTTTCATCCTTCCAGATTCCCAGAACTGAGACGAGGGAATTGAAAATACCATTAACATGCATTGCTGAGTGTTTTGTTCCACTAAGTTAAAACAAGCCAACATATGTCAAATTG